ATTTCAAAGTAATAACTTGAACATAAACTTTATCTCAAAATTTTAAAATTATAACAAAGTTTCTTCATAAGTAACATTTGCAGTTTGCTTTCCATCTACCAACAAATAAAGATTTTGAGAAGATTTAACCCTTGAACACCCTGCATCTCATTGATCATGAGAAAAGCATGGTTGTTTGAGAAACAATCCAGCAACTTTCATTCTTTAACCTTAAATCCCTTTAGAATATTCAACATTGTTTAAAGCGTCAACCTGCCAAGAGCGTTTGAGATTTACTCAATATGCTCGGAGTAATTAATCAACAGGTTTTACAAAGCAGAAATAGGGTTAAGTTCAATCTTGAACACCTTAGGACATTCCCCATAGTTCATAGTGTTTACATTCAAATTTTGGTTAAGATTGGCTCAATAGGCTCGGATGAGTTACGGTGCAAACAAACACACATTTCGTCTTTATATATATATATTTTATTTGGCTGATATTAACGCAAAAGATTTGTGATTTCCTAGTTGTAAAAGACGGATTAAACATAACTTAGTGTTAAAACGTGAAATTTTACCCTATTTATTATACGGATATTGGTTTTTTGATAAAAATCTATTGATATTTCCAGGCTTGGCTTCTTGTGGTAGATTTAAGTATTCCAAAACATAAAATACGGATAGAATTAGGAAACTTCCAAAACGTCACAGCTGTTCCTTTTATTTGGTGTTTCCCCCTCATAACATCTTCTTTCCAAAAATTTCTAATTAAAATAAACGAGCCATTGCCAGTTTATGGAAACATTTACTTGGATTGTTGGTTTTAGATATTGATAAGTGCATTCTGGCACATCTGTGATATAACAAGGCTAATGTTTAGAACCACGATGAACATGTAGACTAAATCACTGTAACCGATGAAAACGATTAGAGCTTCTCATCCATAATTCATATCTTCTTGCAGGAGTGCCAAGGGCTTCATGCACATGAAGATAGTACACAGTGACGAGAAGTTTATTCTAGGTCAATTCGGGAGGTCGTTCGATAGCGTACCAGAGATGGTTCATCATTACTCCGTGAACACGCTGCCTATCAAAGGGGCCGAACACATGTCTCTTCTTCACCCCGTCATCGACCAGCTCCTGTAGACAAAGGAAAGCTAAGGTTGTAACACCAGAAATGACGACGTGGAAAAGTTAGAGCAAGCTCTCGTCTTGAGTAACTGTCACCAGTTCAGCCTTGTCAAACAGATTCTAGTTAGTAGAACATACTTGAAACGGGCTTTCAGCTCAAGTTTCTTTTTACTGTCTAGAAACGCTGTAAATTTTGTTTTCCCCGTTGTATAACACTGTGCAGTACGATCCTTAACTTCTTGTACATAATGTGCATTATGTCCCTACCCCATGTTGAATAACTCTTTGCGTTATATCCCTCAACATGTTATATAACATTATACTTTATGTTTCTCCACCTGTTGTATAACGCTACGCATTATGTCCCTCCCTCTGTTGTATAACACTATACGTTATGTTCCTCCACTTGTTGTATAACGCTACGCATTATGTCCCTCCCTCTGTTGTATAACACTATACGTTATGTTCCTCCACCTGTTGTATGTCCCTCTTTCATGTTGTATAGTACTAAGAGTTATGTCCCTCCAGGGGTTATGGTTCTCTCTCTCTCTCTCCCATGCTGCATAACGCTGTGCGTTATGTCTCTTCCCCTCGTTAGAAAATACTTTGCGTTATATCTCTTCTCCCCATATTGTAGACTACTATTCATTATGTCCCTCTCTCAATGTTATATACGTAAAGACAAGGCGCATTTTCTCAACAATAGTCCCAAGCTGGATAAATAGGGCAATTTGTACGAAAACTAACTCAGATGGTACATGTTGTTTCCTAAATTGAAAAACAAACTATGGCTTAAACTAATTTTTGTTAAGAAACTGAAACAGTTTATTCATTTTATAAGTTTCTGTTGGAAAACAATTTTACACATCGTACTAAAGCAGCCCTCACAGTTACAAGAAAAAAAGTTATATTTTACATGAAATGCACTTGTTTATTATCCAAAGATTCGTTTATAGAATGTGATGATACCTTAGTAAAACGTATCATTCACGTATGACGTAGAAGAAGAAGTAAACTTGCAGTTTTTGGTGTGTAATAATGCTCATTCATGTATATATAAGAACTTTAGATTCCTAAAGAAAGTGTCGAAACTATCAATGTTAAAGCACTACGTGTAATTTAAAGTACCGCATTAACAACAAGTTTGGGTTTTTCTCCCAGACAAACATAGACATACACACACATATGGGTGTTTCGTTGTGAAACAATAGTTTATATATTTTATGATTTTAAAGTCTAACTTATAAATTTGATCGTGTTTCAATCTTCCAGAAAAATCAATAACATAACAGATACTTTGTAACATTGAAACTAGCTTTAAAAAGGCAGACAAAATATTGTGAGCAGTGGATTGGTTGGTATGCTGACCGTCTTTCAGTTGATTAATTATAAACCACTTGCGTACGATAGATGATTTCGACAAAAACATAAGACAGAAAGAAAATAATTTACGAAAACAAAGCTGGTATACGTTCATTCTCATCATGCTCAACTTTTATTACTAACATTTTTGAAAATATATATTGCTACATATTAACAACAATGTATCATTAAGATATGTGCGGAACAAAAAAACATATAGGATGATAGCTAATCGAAGTTAATAAAGTTATGAATAAAAATAAACAATACAAATTAACCACACCTTCAAAAAAGATTTTTCACTAATGATTTTGTGGTTAAAGGAATTAAAAGTGTATACGGTATATCTATTAAATTACATTACCCGCTAATTGGGCAAAATGAGATACTGAACTTTTCATTTTCATCCTTCGTGTAATATTTCGAATAAATAAATAACATTACGAAATTGTAAAACATATCTAGGTGTTTTGAATGTAAAAATGATTGACAACAATGTTTCTTTTTTGATCCTTAAAAATATGAATTTAATTAATTTATAAAGAGGGCTTTACTCTTAAGGACTATAAGTAGTATATATATTTATTTCTATCGACACACACACACACACATATATATATATATTGTTGTTAATTCGATACATTTCCTGTAAACATACCATAAAATTCTATGGTTAAGTATTCTTGTTAAAAACGTTAAGTTTTTATTTGAACTTGCTTGGTAGTAAAGATTGATACTTTTAAACGTTTGTTTCTCTTCAATAGAAGAAAAATATGGTAAAGGCAGAAATGCTGTTACAAAAATTATAGAATTATTAAAGGAAGAAATGATTTTTATTAATAATAAATATATGTTTTTCCAGATTATTTCTGAAATGATGATTCTCTGCTAAGAAAAGAGAATTAATGTAAATTAAGAATATTTTGAATTTCTTTCTTTCACCGAAAGCATTTTTGCTAAATGTATTATTAACCAGTTAAAGATATTGCCCGTGTCAACTTAGTTATTTTAGAAAAAATCAGAATGTTATTTAAGACAAGTTAGGCCTTACCTAGTGGTTGGCTTGCCTGGAATATGAATCCAAGGATACGTGATTCGTAATTCGTTGCCGCAAAGACGCACTTTGTACTTTGGGGCCGTGGATGCATTATAAGAGTGATGATAAAAACCCCACTATCTAACCAGACAGGGGTAGCACAAGACTATGGAGGTTGATGATGGCGACTAGCTATCCCACTATCTAACCAGACAAGAGTAGCACAAGACTATGAAGGTTGATGATGGTGTCTAGCTATTCTACTGTCCAACCAGACAGGGGTAGCACAAGACTATGGAGGTTGATGATGGTGTCTAGCTATTCTACTGTCCAACCAGACAAGAGTAGCACAAGGCTATGGAGGTTCATGATGGTGTCTAGCTATTCTACTGTCCAACCAGACAGGGGTAGCACAAGACTATGGAGGTTGATGATGGTGTCTAGCTATTCTACTGTCCAACCAGACAAGAGTAGCACAAGGCTATGGAGGTTCATGGTGGTGACTAGCTATCCCACTATCTAACCAGGCAAGAGTAGCATAAGACTATGGAGGTTGATGATGGCGACTATTTATCCCACTATCTAACCAGACAAGAGTAGCACAAGACTATGGAGGTTGATGATGGTGACTAGCTATTCTACGGTCCAACCAGACAAGAGTAGCACAAGACTATGGAGGTTGATGATGGCGACTATCTATCCCACTATCTAACCAGACAAGAGTAGCACAAGACTATGGAGGTTGATGATGGTGACTAGCTATTCTACTGTCCAACCAGACAAGAGTAGCACAAGACTATGGAGGTTGATGATGGTGACTAGCTATCCCACTATCTAACCAGACAAGAGTTAGCACAAGACTATGGAGGTTGATGATGGTGACTAGCTATTCTACTGTCCAACCAGACAGGGATAGCACAAGACTATGGAGGTTGATGATGGCGACTAGCTATTCCACTATCTAATCAGACAAGAGTAGCACAAGACTATGGAGGTTGATGATGGTGACTAGCTATCCCACTATCTAACCAGACAAGAGTAGCACAATACTATAGAGGCTGATGATGGCGATGAGCTATCCCACTATCTAACCCGACAGGGGTAGCACAAGACTATGGAGGTTGATGATGGCGACTAGCTATCCCACTATCTAACCCGACAGGGGTAGCACAAAACTATGGAGGTTGATGATGGTGTCTAGCTATTCTACTGTCCAACCAGACAAGAGTAGCACAAGGCTATGGAGGTTCATGGTGGTGACTAGCTATCCCACTATCTAACCAGGCAAGAGTAGCATAAGACAATGGAGGTTGATGATGGTGACTAGCTATCCCACTATCTAACCCGACAGGGGTAGCACAAGACTATGGAGGTTGATGATGGTGTCTAGCTATTCTAC